CATAACATTATGATTTTTTACAAGTGTATGTACACTTTTGACCACAACTGTAAGTTCAGTCCATTTACCATTCTATTAAATCAAATCTTTGACCCAGCACTGATTTAGCCTGCTCTGAATTCTGGGTATTATCACCACCTACTAGTGGTGGTGATAATGATGTAAGTCAGACTGTGTCCCTGCTGGGCATACAGTTCTTTTTTTCCTTGACAATGTAACAAATATGTAGATAACTACAGTGCATCATAAAAATGAGTAACAATAAAAGACAGAAAAAGCCTTGGACTGCATTAGTCATTCTGAGTGTAGAAATGGATTTCCTGCCTGGTGTTTTCTGTGCTGATCGGTGACCAACTCTGTTCTGGCAGACCTCCGTCTCTGTTGCTAATGTACGAAATCGTCTGTGATTCAGTTTGATGTGCATCCACGCTGCGTTTGTTCTGTTTTTAGCTGCTTTGTAATCGGTCAGGAAGTCTGCGCCGTGTTTCTAAAGAGGCCGTCCTCTGACCCGTGTGCTCCGTAACGCTGCGCCCACAGTGTGAAAGTCAGCTGATGGCTGGCCTTGAGTTAAGCTGCTCTATGACCTCAGCTGTAAACACACATCACATGACCACCCCCCTCTCTGTCACACCCAGCGTTAAATCAGAGCTCATTAGAGACAAACTGAAAATAAGTCAGTCCGTAACGACGTCTCTTGATTTATTTAGTTTTTAAATTTTTATAGTTTTGTCTGTCCTTCACTAAATCCCATCGGTTTGTCCTTCCACATGACTTTCTGACCCTTAAGGGACTTTCCTCAGTGGAATGTTTATAGTTTTATTTTTCTCCTTGATGCTACACGTCGATACCAGCACCACTCCGACACTAATAGCTGCCGCCCAAACTAAATAATTTAGCCTCTATTGCCGTCTGTCGTCACTTTGTTTTCTTATTTTTCTCCATCCATGTTTGTGTTTGTCCTCAGGAATATGAAACAAAGAGTGGCAAAGCTGGACCTGGCAACCCGACATCCCCCAGGCAGGGAGTGAGGAAGAACCTGGACTTCGAGCCCCTCTCCACCACCGCGCTCATCCTGGAGGACAGACCTGCGTATGTTTCCTCATCGTTCCATCCTACCAGTGTCTTCATTAACATGATCATTGGAGCTTATGCTTTATGTTTTTTTCCACTTCCTCACTCTTTGTTAAAAGAAAAAGCTTCTCATTTCTTGTCTATTTTGTTGTTGTTCTTACCGTTTCCTTAGACCTCATTCTTCTGTGCTGCTTAATTTATTTCATTGTAAAACAACTAATTCATCACAACTTCCTCTTGGAATACCAGGAGTTTTTTCCCATCTCTTCCATTTTGATTATATGCAAGAAATCCAATGTTTACATTCATTCCATTTCTGCATCAGATTTTTTTATTATTTATTAGAAAAAAAATTGAGTGGGAAACAAAAGGATCAACTTAAAATTGGAGATTTAAAAAAAAAGAAAAGAAAAAAAAATTAACAGAAAATACAGCTCATAGTGTGAGTTTTTGTAGTGTAAATCAAACTCTAATTTGTAGCCAGAGATGTTTTGTTGACCAGCTGGATTTTCTGATTTAGTCAGAATTAATTATTAGTTTGGCCAAATTGAAGCATCATTCCTCTAATATGCTATATATAATAACTTATTTGTCCAAACAGAATGCGTTTCTGACCTCTCTACTGTCAGTGGGTCTGCCTTATAAGGAACAAACAGGAAATCAAAAAGGACATTCATCCTTATGTCCGTTTTAATTACAAAAATCAGAAATCAGTCTTGGGTCCAAAAATTAAAAACTTTGTGGAAAAAAATAAATAAATAAATTGAAAGCGGATCCAAACATGTGCAGCTGGATTACATGCAGCTTGTGATGGAGTGTAGAGAGTTTCCTTTACAAGACTGGTGTGTCTCTTTAGGCCATAGGCCTGCTTCTCATAAATGATGTAGGTAGAGCTCAGTGAACACACACACACACACACTGCTGCTCACTCACTTCCTCTGACACACACACACGCATCTTTGTTTTTGCAGTAATCTGCCCGCCAAACCTGCAGAGGAGGCCCAGAAACACCGACAGCAGTATGAGGAGATGGTGGCCCAGGCCAAGAAGAGAGGTCAGCCAGCTGGAATCCTCACTGAACCACATCAGCTCGTCATATATTGTTTTTTTTTGTTTTTTTTTGTATTTTTAAATTCACTCTCTGTCTTCTGCAGAGCTGAAGGAAGCTCAGAAAAGGAAGAAGCAGCTGGAGGATCGCTGTAAGCTGGAGGAGAGCATCGGCACGGCGGCCCAGATCTGGAACCAGGAGATCCTACCCAACTGGAGCACAATGTGAGTCACGCTCTTCTTATCTATATTTTCCAAGTCACATTTATATGTGTTACAGTAAATTAAATGAATGCAAAATTGTATGTTTGACTTAAGTTAAAAAAGAAGAAAAGATTAGTTAACATTCCACAGCCTTCCACATAACACTTTTTTTCTTCCGTCTGTATCTGGTTTTAGTAAAAACAGAAATGAAGCATATAAAACCAAATAGAAAAATTATAACAGCTGTAGAATTATATGGATCTAGAGACCAACATCACAATAGACTGAATCAATGAATATTGAGTATTGTTGCATCTTTTCTAAATATTTTATTCAGTCCAAACATTCTCAATTATTTCCGGCACATATTGATCAGTTATATTTATCCCATTTATTCTAGTGTTTAATAAATGAATTTATCTTCAAATTTACTGTGAATATTACTTTCCCATTTTGTAAATCTAGGGCTGGTTGTTTTCTTTACTATTTTTTTTTCTTTTTTTTTTCTTTTTAGTAATTGCCTTTTTTCCTGCTGCCACAAGATTAGCTCAAACAGGAAATGCATTCAGAATCAGCTGCGATCTCAACAATTATCCATTCACAAGCTTTGAAAAACATGAAACATTTGTCTCTGAAACATTCCTGGGTGACATTCCCAGCATTCTTGCCTCGTCTGAGGCTCACTTAATCTCAAAACCGGACACGCTAGTAATACTTGTTCTTCAGAAATTATCCATGTACCTACAGGATACTTTCTCTTAGTTGATCTACTTTAGTTTAGACCAACTAAATACCACATTAGCTGATACAACCGAACACACGCAGGTCAGTAAAAGGAGGAGTTGTGAAAACCTAAACAGGAAGTAGTAGCCAGATATATTGTGTTGGGGTTTACCTGTCATTTCCTGCTCTGGCGGTAGAGGCAGCAGCTCCTGCAGTCGTACATTATCGCCCCCATGTGGCACTGACCCGTAATGGATTCTTTAAAAAGAGAAACAAAGCTCTAAACCAGCCTGAGTTTTTCTTTTCTGTCTGCAGGTGTACGTCCCGGCGAGTGAGAGACCTCTGGTGGCAAGGCATCCCTCCAAGTGTCAGGGGAAAAGTGTGGAGCCTGGCTGTGGGCAACGAGCTGAACATCACACATGGTACATTATTATTATTATTATTATTATATTTTTTTTGTTGTTTTCAGTTTTAATTTAAACTTACAGAGTTCTAGTTCAGCTTACTAACCTGTTTCCTCTTCCAGCTCTGAAACAGACAAATAAATCTAAAATCTTCAGGTTAACATTAAAAGGCAGTGATATCATTTTTCAAACACTAATCTGTGTCCTTATTGGTTGAGTAATTTATTAATATACTTAATTGAAATCTAGGTAAGAAGAGTTAATTATACAGGAGAAGTGATATAATCCTCCTATGGACCCATTGGGATTGAGAATGTTTACAAATCATCCAGGTAAATTAGTGTTTTAGAATTTATCCTGTAAAACTAAATTAAAGGAAGCTAGGTTTGCTAACTGTTTTCTAAGCTAGATCATGCACTGTATGAAAAATGATCTGCACTGTTGATGGAAGTGTACCTACCACTGATGAAAAAATGTGCAGTTTAACGGCTCAAAATGTGACGCCTCCTCTGCAAACTGGAGGAAACGACATGTTGGCTTTCAAGATCTCTGCTGTATAAATATGCAGGTAGTGGATGTCGTAATAAAACTCCACATGTTCCTGGCACTTAAGCTTGAATATCGTCACCTTCCTAAAATAATACCCAAGACATTTTTTTTTACCAAGAAATGACTTGGGTATTATTTTAGGAAGTTGACTGTTTGGATCCTCAAACATGTTTTTGAAAAGACGTTCTTTGCACATAAAATATTTGCTTTTGTTCACATCAGTGCTTCTGATTATCGCCATGTCGTTCTGAAAGAACAAGGTTAAAGGTTCCTCTGCAGCTTTCAAGAACATAACATTTAATCTCCAGCCCTGAGTGTAGAAGAGGCTCATTAGATGCATGAAAAATCCAAAATATCTTTTTCCTTTATCACAATATTCAGCTGGTAGCTTTTATTTATTCTAAATGCCTTTGTTGGGCGGTTCATAGATACTTTGTGTAGGAATATAAACCTGCTGATGAGAGGTGAATGTTGAACATGATGGTCACTGGTGCTCCACTCATCAAATTCAGTACTTGGATCTGAACACTAGAGGGCAGCAACAAGTAGAATAAACGTTTTCTGAAATGGAGTTGTGGTTTCTGTAACCACCTCTCTGTCCTCTCATCTTGTTCTCCGCTCATCGTCTTTAACCTTTGCCCTCTCCTGTCTCATATTGATTGATTTGCCGTCCCTGCAGAGCTGTATAACATTTGTCTGGCCCGGGCGAAGGAGAAGTGGAGAAGCACAGCAGTTCTCACCACTGACACCGAAGGTAAGAGACTAAACTCAAAATGTGGATTTCTTTGTTTTTCATTTCTGATCCAAGTAAAACTCCCACATGACACAACGGGTTTTCTTCAAGACGTTTTAGATTCTTCGGACCGCGAGTCGAGCCTGGAGCTCATCAAGCTGGACATCTCCAGAACTTTCCCCCAACTGTGCATCTTCCAGCAGGTGAGCAACAGGAAGCTACATGAAGGTTGTATCCAGAATGTAGATGCAGTCATGTTGAACCTAATTAAAAAGCTCCGCCATGTTGGAAGCTGTTTAAGTGGAAGCGAAGCTCATTCCTGGTTCTTCATTGGTTCTCTGTTGATGTTCAGGGCGGGCCTTATTATGACGTGCTGCACAGCATTCTGGGAGCGTACACGTGCTACCGGCCAGACGTCGGCTATGTAAGTCCATCCAAACACTTCCCTACTTCCTGTGTTGAGATTACATCTCACCTCTGTCATGTTGGTTATTTACCATACATACATATGTGGATTTATCTTCAGATACATATATATAAAAAAGAAATTATTTTGGTGTTTTTGTTGTTTTATTGCCACCTCACTGCAATGAAAATTTACCCAAGGGAACAATAATAGTCTCACTAATACTGATAATCCATGTTTAAATCACCTCCATCTTTTTTATGATCAAACACGCTGTTGGGGTAAATTTGATCTCGTTCTTATGTGAAATGAATTGCAAGTCAAAATATACAGTCTTTAACTAGAACAATATACCCAGACTATAATAATAATAATGCATCATATTTTTATAGCACTTTTGTAGACACTCTGACGCTTTACAAGAGAAGAAAAAAATAATTAAAAAGAAAATCTAATCATTTTGGTCCCTGATTAATTAGAAGAACAAGATTTATTTGTTTAGTTTTTTTTGTTTTTTTTGACAAAATGATCTCTGAAAAATGGCATGCTAAATTGTAACAAAAAATATCTTTAAAAAATAATAAAGTAATAGAAAAATGTATAAAATAAGTTACAGAGCAAGCAAAGTGAGTGAATTATGTAAAAGTTAAGATGAAATGAGAACTAAGTGTTGTAGAACTGGCTCACATTTTATACCATTGAGCTCCTCTGTAATTCTGTAGGTTTTCTAATTATTCAAACAGATATTTAAGGCCTTTTTGCCTCTTTCTGTGTTCGACACAGATGAGAGATCAGTCAGTGTTTGAGTTTCAGCTGGTCGGACAGATTTGTTTCAAATTGTCCAATTTCAGTTTTTACAGCGTCGGCACAATTGATGAAGCCATTCCACTAAAAGGGCTTTGAAATGAAGTTGTCATTAAAACAAAACATGACGACCGCAAAATTATGACTCCCAATTACATCACACTACTTAGTTAAATTGAGATATTTAACTCCTCATGAGTACAGTTACTGTTTCTAGTTGTAGTTTTCACACATTTCCAACCTTCATGTCTGTAGCGGTCACAGTCAATCCGATACGTCTCTATAGGTGTCGTTTAAGGCTATTTTCCCTCGTCGTTTGCCCTCTTCTCTACCAGCTTTGGGGAAAAACCCACTATGTCACAGTATAGTGGAACATTCTTAGAATATCGCAGCATTAGCATAATATTTTACCCTGTAATTTAACACCACAGAGATGCTGTGGGGAAATACTAAATGGACTTTCTGCTGTTGACCACAGGAATTCTTGTAGAGCGTAAAAAGGTAAATATAGCGTATCACAAGCCTCCCACACAACACCAACACCCATGCTTTTTATCATTAAGCTGTTAGAGTGCAGCGCAAGTAGATGTCAGCTTCTCGGATCTAATTTTCACCTGAGTGGGCGCTGTGGAGAAGCTGAGTGGGTCCATGTTATGAAAGGTGAGCAGTCGATATCAGCTATGACTGGAGTTTCAACTGCGTATGAAAAGTTCAAAACCAATAAAACATGCTGTTGGTGTGATTAATAAGAACTCTAATTGATCAGATGAAAAAAAAATCAGTTTTATCTTCAGTAAAGAAATAAATTTTTTATTGGTCCTTGTTTAATCCTGATAGTGTCTTAGTTTTGGTGAATAATGAAACTTTTAATAAGTTGTTTCTGATTAATATTGAACAAAAACACAATCTAGGTCTGCAGGATGGGAAAAAATGTCTGATTTAAAAAAAATGTATTTGCTGAAACTGAAACTCAAACACAGACTGATCTCTCTTCTGTACATTGATTTCACATGTCAAATCAATGTCACTTTTTTATTCCTTTTTAGTAAATTATTTTACAGGATGTCTTAAAAAATCTTAAATTTATGATAACACTTTATTTGAAGGGGTGTGCATAAGACTGACAATAACACTGTCATAAACATGAACGAGTCTTTATAAATGTCTGACTGTTGTCATGAAGTGTCATTTGGTAAATAATGACACTTTTAATGCAAAGTTGCTTTAAAAGTTGCATTAAAAGTCCATTAAAAGTGCCAACTTTGCAGGATTTTGTAAATGACAATTTAAATTTAATTAATAATGATCTTGAAAAGGCTTAATTTTGGTGAAACCTGCAGAAACTCTATTAAATTCTTGAATTTAAAAGCTCAAAATAGTAAAATTACTACTGTCAAACTTCAATTTAATCTAAAATGATGAGGGCTCAGGACAGTAAACAAAATAAAATGAGAAGCTTTGACACAACTAAAGAACTTTATTGTTCAAATAATTGTATTTTTGAGCTTTGCTTTTTAGCGAATCATTCTGTGAAATTAAAAAGTCATCACCTCACGGAGCGCTCCTTTGAATCTGTTTGCACATGTGAGCTGTGATGTCGGCTCTGTTGCTGTTCAACCGCAGCCTCACTGTTGCTGTTTATACACCTTTATTGAAATGACTGTGACTTCCTGCGCTGACCCCAACCCATCTCTGCACACACATCTGTGCTCTCACCACTGCATATACAGTTTATGTGCATCAGCATCAGTTTATGTGAATCTCCTCTGTTTTTGGTCTGATTAGCAATAAATGCTCCTGGTATTGACAGAGTGAAAGTTCAGGTGTTGAGTCATGGCCGTGCTCTGAGTCTCTCAGACACAAATCACTCTGACTCGCCTCTGTAGCTGTCAGTGTTGCCCGTTAATGGCTGTGTTCTTTAATTTCTTCTTACTGCGGCGCTCAGGTGCAGGGGATGTCGTTCATCGCCGCTGTGCTCATCCTCAATCTGGACACAGCCGACGCCTTCATAGCTTTCGCCAACCTGCTCAACAAGCCCTGTCAGATGGCCTTCTTCAGAGTCGACCACAGCCTTGTTAGTAAAACACACACGCACACACATGCTGACACTCAGAAACCACATCATACATAAAAATCACACGTGGGGAGCCTCTTTACAAACTCCATACTTATTCTGACGGAATGTTTGGGTAGGAAATAGAATTAAAGGGTTTCTCAAAAACTACGCAGGGACTTTACCCTTGGGATTTACCCATCAGATATTAATATCTGTATCTATCCCAATATTGGGGGAGAAAAAAATCTTTGAGTATTGGTGAACCATAAGGTTGGATCTGAGCGACATAATGTTTTATCATTTATTTTCCATAATATTCAGAAATCCTACTTGCTCTTTCTGAAGTATTTAAAAGGTTTGCTGCAGTTTATTTTTACATTTGACCAATGTAGTCAATCTATTTTTGTTTTAGCAAATTAAGGTTGTTATTTTTACATTTGACCAAGCTTGTTTAAGTTTGCTGTACTGGTGCAGAGTTATCAGATCAATGTTTTATTCAGTACATTTATTTCTATGTTTAAAAAAACAAAGAAACGTTTTAAATCAATTCAGCTGTTTCTCTGCATCAGATAAACGTCAGATATCGGTTTTGGAAGTGAATAAAGTGCATCCCTACTTTATCCTGTGCAATGACTGTTAAATGTTGGTTTCTTTGTTTCCATGGTTTCCTCTCTCTTGTTTCCAGATGTTGACGTACTTTGCAGCGTTTGAAGTGTTCTTTGAAGAAAATCTACCAAAGCTCTTTGCACATTTCAAGAAAAACAACTTGACTCCTGATATTTATTTAATTGACTGGTGAGTTTGTCACTTTTACACGTTTCTACAGCTTTTTATTTTTTAATTGACTTACTCTGAACTTGACTGGCTGCTTTAGATAGTTTTGACCCAAATCTTAAAGTTGCCCTGTCAGTCGGCGTGTGGAGCTGGTAATGTGTTCACCTGCATGCAGAGTGAACTTTACGCTCCATGTTGCTGCAGGGGAACTTCATGTTGCCTGCGGGTCACATTCAGAACCTCAACTGGGTTTCTGAGAAAACAGGATGGGCTCAGTTTGCACATCGGTCTGTGTTAGTGGTCTGCACCTTCCACTGGAGGAAATTCTGTTCACTCTCACTTGCTACTCAAATAGCACCTCCCATTAGACAGTACAGTTTTAACCATGCTTAAATGCGCATCCCCTTTGGCAGATAATGTCATATGTCATTTTATTCCACCTCTCTCTTGTAGAGAGGTGGAATAAACAGTTCTTATCACACTGTTTAATGAGGTATTTTAACAGCTATATGAAACAGTGGGTGTCAAACCACAAACTGAGAATTTTCATCCTTAGCTACGTTTTCATTGAGCATAGAATTGCACAAATTAGAGTTACAAAAACAAATGCACTTAACGGCAACGGCAGTTTTCAAAGAACTCACATTTTTACAATAAAAGGTTTATGAGCCAGGATGAGTTATTATTTTTTTAACTGTGTTGAAATTTGGGCATTTTGCAAAACTGCGATATAAACACTTGATTCACATCATCCCTGTTTGTGGACAGCAACTTGTTTATGACCAAGTTTATTCCCGTGTTACTTTTTTATTGCATTTTTTTGTTTCATGGAAACACTGCTATCGCAAAATTGTTTTCTTTATTTCAACATTAACAAAGTATTGAAAGTTTTGCTCACATTTTTAATGGAAATGCTGCTGTTCTTAATGAGGAAAACATGTTGCAAGTTACAAGTTGACAGTTTCAGACACGACTGCTAACACCTGCTGAGAAAGTCTGTCGTAGATAATTGGATCTTTGCAATTTGGTAACGGGTTCAATGAGGTCAACAATCGATCAAAACAAACCTTGCACCCCAGAAAAATCGCTCCTGTTTGTTTTGTTTAATCAGTGATGGTCACACGAGTCACATGTGTTCCACAAGGCTTTGTGTTCAGACTCCCAAACTAGTGCAGGGGAAAAAGTGTCCAGACTGTCTTGAGTGAGTTCACATCATGATTTTTAGCACCATTTAAGTTCTTTCTGATCACTCAGATCAGACGATGATTCCTGGTCTGAAAGTTTCCAGCTAATTCTGACGGTAGTGGACTGACATCATGAATGTAAATGAATTGATTACCCCTAAATAAACTATTGCCAGCCTCTGTTGTCTCTTGCAGAGAGATGCAGTTTTTATCTTGGCTGCAATTTACAGTCTTCCTCCTCTTTCTTTTTTTTTCTTTCCTCCCAGGATCTTCACACTGTACAGCAAGTCTTTGCCACTGGACCTGGCGTGTCGCGTGTGGGACGTGTTCTGCAGGGACGGCGAGGAGTTCCTGTTCCGCACGGCGCTGGGCGTGCTGCGCCTCTACCAGGACGTCCTGACCTCCATGGACTTCATCCACATGGCTCAGTTCCTCACCCGGCTCCCTGACCTCATCCCCCCTGAGCAGCTCTTCCAGCACATCGCAGCCGTTCACATGACCAGCCGCAACAGGAAGTGGGCCCAGGTACTGGTTCATCCACTGCGTTTGTTTCACAGTGCATTGCAAAAGGATTCACTTTCCTTGGACTTTTTTTTTTTTAACGATATTATATATTAATGTATGTGATACACCAACACAACGTACCACATGACTGTGAAGTGCAAGGAAAATTAAATACAAATCTGAAAAGTGTGGCTTACTAGTAGTTCTACGACCTGGCCAATACCAATATTGATGGCAATATATCGTGCATCATTAATTCTATTGTTTGCTGCACCCTCTATTTTTCACAAATTTATACATTTCAGATTTAAAAGTGTTCAGTCAGAGGCTTCTTCTGAGCCGCTGTAATACAGACTGCTACAGGAGACCCTTCCTTGAGACCCCACTTTTCCTTTAGGGTTAAAGTATTCTTGATTCGAATGATCTCTAATTCATGCGCCGGTCTGTTTTACTCCTTTGACTAATTTTAGCATTTTAGAAACACAATTAGAAAAAGTTATGAATGCTTCCTGTTGTGTATTTTCTGCCTTATTTTATTTATTTTCATGCCACCTGTGAGAAACGAGGAAGTTTAAAAACGTCTCTGCTGCCTTCCATCCTCTCAGGTCCTGCAGACACTGACAGAGCAGAAGAGATCCGGAGCGAGGCTGTCCGGAGCCGAGGCGCTGAGCTGAGGTCAGAGGGAAGGTCACACACTAATCCACTCAGATCCCCTCCAGCTTTCAGGGCATCCTGCACCTGAAAGAGACAGAGACACCCCCTCCCCCCCACCTCACATCAACTTATGGGGGAGAAGTAAACTACTGTAGCTGCTGAGATGGAGCTCTCCTTCGTGTTGCCGCTCAGACCCTAAACCAGCATCCTAAAGGAGGGTCTGCCGGTCAGGAAGCACCGGGAGGTGAAAGGAATACGAGGCCTTATTTTCCTGTTTTACTCCCCAACACCCACCATGAAGCCCAGCAGTGAACTGGAAACTGTAGCTGGGAAACTGTGAAGAATGTATCGCACTCCCACCGTCATGAACACCAGGCTGAGTCAGATCTCCTCAGGCAGAGGGAGGAAACCACAGAGGTACCACTGAAGTTCCTCCACCAGTCTCTCCACCCGGCGCCGGGTCCTCTGCTGTCGGCTACCTGAACCGCGTTCCACTCGTCTTGTCTCTTTCTTCCTCTGGTTACCGTAACGAGAATCACAAAGCCCTTTTTATTATTTTTTTTATTTTTATTTTTTTCCCCCAGATGTGTACCAGTCAGGGAACATCACTCTTATCTTTAATTTCCACTCTTTGCTTTCAAAAAGGCCATGCTTGTTTATAATGTGGCCAGTGGATTCTGTTTGCACATCTATCATTCCCTCATGGTGTGTGTGTGCGCGTGTGTTTTATTTAATTAGTCAGGCTTGTTTTCTGAATCATTCCATTCTGTCGCGCTAAAATCCACCAAGCTGCTACTCGATCACATGCTGACTCTGCAGCTTCTATCCAACATGCAAGTAATGAGAACTCTTCATCGAGGTCGTATTATAAGCTGCCTGGAAAATTCTTTTTATTTTTGCATCAATGAAACTGGGTTAACTTAAAAAAAAGTGGTGAAGTTGGTCTAAACACTGCAGATGTTGATTTCTTTTTCATGCTTTTAATGTGTTGGTGGTACATTTCAGCTTTGTAGTGTCCTGGAGTGTGAAGTCTTTTTGTGCGGTTATTTAATATTTATCGAAAATGTGATGAGACATACAATTGAAATGAAGGATGTGGCGAAGTTCCTCCTCAGCAAGTGAGAGGAGTGTGAACATGTTGCATCAGACAAGCCGACACGTGTAACTATGTTTTACTGTTGAGACGGAACCGGTTTACTTGATTTACTAAGTGATTGAAGAAACATTTTATTAGTCTTTGTTAAAATTTGTCCAGATAGCTGTGATAGTAAAATATGAACTCTGTATTCTCAAGCAAGATCTGCAGTTTTAGTGTGCAAGTTCTGCCTAGCCGATACTGTAAATTCAAGAAGGAGCCGTCGGAGGCTGATGGTGACAGTTTAAGAGCTTTAATATAAAGTATAATTCATGTCTGAAGCTGCAATATGTCATTGATTTTTAAACATGAATGCATGAATTGATGAAGTTTCCCAACAAACTATTTTTCTTACATTTTATTTTAGCACTTTCTTCCATGAGGCATCCATATTGGATCTTGAAGTTGCAGCTGGGGAGGCTCCTCCCACTTTTGGAACAGGCTCCAATACATTTTGAAGAACACTTGTAGACATAGGCTACTGTAAGTTTCTCACAGTATGTAAGTAAAAACGAGAATGTTATTCCTGCTGTAAAATAATATGACAGATTATTGCAGTCAGGGCCGGATTTAGAAGTACAAGGGCCCAAACTAGTTTTGGTGCCATAGAAAAAAAAATCTAACTCATGCAAATTACAGAGCATAATAGATCCTGTGTATGTCTGCAGATGACTCCATTTTGGCCCCAAAGTGATTGGTTTCAAATATTTGAGAAGTTTAAATTAATAGAAAAAAACACGGCATGCAAAATTAGTCCACGACCTTAATATGAGGTATGATGTTTGCGAAAGACGCAAAGTACACACAAAAAAGTGTTTTGTTTTGGGTGGGGGGTTTGAGGAGCCCTGGGCTACTGCCCATGTCGGCCCTTTCTAAAGTCTGGCTCGAATTGCAGTTACAGTTTGTCAGCCAGTTTGTCTTTAAAAGTGAGGGGAAGGTGTAGCTCTTAACTGGAACTTTATTAAATTATACTTTTTTTTTTTTTCTTTAAGTGTGAGTTAAGAAGCTGTGAATTCTTGCTTTAATACCAGAAACTTTCCCCCACCTAAACACACATTAACACACTACACGGCTGCTCCTGGTTTAAACTCTGCTGCTCCAAAGCGCAGCAGGATGAGTTCAAAGTACGACTGGCTGTAAATGTCTTGGATGTTGGGGATCAGATGTTGGCTCTGCTTTAGTCAGACTTCTGTGGCCTTCACAGTGGATTCACACTGTGGTAAACGTGTCATCCCATCATAACCAGGTGACGCCTGCATTTATATTGCCGCCATCTGTAAAGTTAAAGTAAGGACCACATGAAACACCTAAAAATTTATTTCTTGAAACTTTTCTTTATTTTATTTTTTTAAGCCCCAATTTTAATCTAATCAGGTTGAAAGCATAGAAATCTGATTGGATCTGAAGGTCAACTGTGGATAAAATTGCCGTTTCCTCTTGCTTGTTTTGCTGCTGATTTTTTATTTTTTTATTTTTTGAGGCTACTTTTGTTTTCTGTGAAAATCTCCTCTCAGTGGGACCGCGCTCTCTAAGTACACCGAAGTCTTGAGATGACTTGAAACCAAAAATCGGTTCTGACTTGTCGGATTCTTCTCACTCATCTTTTGGCTGTCTCCAGACAGTTTTCTGTTTCTTTTCTGCTTTCACATCATCATCTTTCTGCACTTCACCCTCCCTCCCCTCCACCCACCATTCAACTCCTCCACTGTGGTTTTTTTAAAAAACCACACAGGACTGCAATAAAGCTTTTTGCACAAACATGTCAGTCTTTGCATTGAGTTGTGTCTCGCATCATCACTTCATGTCATCGGTCACAGTTAAACTGGTTTCCGTCTTTTTGTTTTCGTGTTGTTTGCACTGACGTTGCCGTGCCGATCTTTTCTCTGTAATGCGTGCTTGTGGTAAGAAGGTAATTGCTCAAAGATGTTGGTTTCTAACATGTTACATTAAAGGTGAAACCTGGTGTTATCTATCAACACTAATTGTCCTTTCTTTAATCCAAAGCACTTAAAACACACAAAACCCCTCAATCATCAGTGTCACTTTCCTTGGCTCAGTAATCGGGTTGATTTGTTGGTTTTATTTTATATCGTCACTTTTGTTTTGGTTTTTTCTTGAGACCTGTGTACTGTTGAGGACTGAGGGTCGACATGCAACTGTATCTCACTTGAAAATGTACATAAATGATGGTTTTATCATAATAAAAAGCTGTACATACCCTCCTGCTTTTTTTTTTTGAGGCTTTGTTAAATCTACAGATGCATCTAAAAAATTTTGATTGTGAAAAGAAATATTTTTGGACACTTTGGTTACGATAAAGACCAGCCTGTGGTTCTGTTGAGGCATAATGGAAGCCCAGGTGTTGGGTTGGTGCTTTTCATCTTCCTCTTCCTCTATAGAGAATCTTTGACGGTACGCCAAAGATTTTCTACAGGATTCAGGTCATGAGAGTTTCTGGCCAATCGAGAACAGCATCACCATGGCCACTGAACCAGCTTTGACAGTGTGGGCTGAGTTAGAAAATGAAATCAGCATCTCTTGTCAACAGAAAGAACCAAAAGTTGCTCTAAAATGTCCTTGTAGATGGTAGACTGCTTCCCAAACCTTCACAGATTGTAGAAACTTTACTCTCAACTCCAAGGATTCTGTGCCTCTCCACCTTTTTTTCTAAAAACTCTGGGACCTTGACCTCCAAATGGAATCCTTTGTTTTCATCTGGAAAGATGACTTTGGATCACCAAGTTGGGTTAAACTTAAGCAGGTTGTTTAATAAAAATGACCTTGTCATCAAAATTGTAAGCGTTACCTAAAAACAAGACAAACCTGGATGATGACTAGGTTTACCAACGTTTGCCTAGTCAGTCACTTTTTCCTAAAGCGGTCACTAGAACTACGAAGGACAAGAGGAATTTACCGAGAAAGAAAAACGTCATGCATTGTTCCACATTCTAGGAATGATGCATGGCACTTAGAAATATGTCTTTGTGTAACTTGTAGCGACTCTCGTCTCATTCTTTAATGTGCTTTGAGGATGTTGCAGTTTTTCTTGATATTTGGTGTTGATATTCTGACAAATTTTAGAGATGTTTCCAGAATGTTTACAAATGAGACGCACAAGCTCCTTTTCAAGAGCAACCTGGCAAGATAGAGTTTACAAGTTTCAGCATTCACATCCCAACGATGGCGTATGCTACTTTCAAAGGCATCAAAGTATGAAGTAAAAGAAAAAAAAAAAGTTAAACATGACCATCAAAAGCAATTGCAATTAGTAAACCTCTTCTTCTTTCAGCAGTGCTTTCAGTTCACCGAGTCTCAATTGCTCTGTCAATTTAGCCTTTCACTGAAAGTCATTCCAGACTGAGGGGGCGGCGTATTTAAATGCCCTCTTACTAATCAGTTCAGTTGTTTTTCTCTCGAACGCAGGTATGATGCTTCCAATGCGTAGGATTCATCTGGACCTTGGTCCATGAACGGATTCTGCTTGATAACAGCAACAGATCTCCCTGCTGCTGATGCACCTTTTCTTATCACAACCCAACAGATTTACTTTCACAAGTATATAATGCTCCACTTGTGATATATAGAAAATATACATCAAGTACCGGACGCCGAAACCAGGAACCGAAATCTGAACGACACTATCACCGTTGTAAATTGAATAATTTAGGTCAATTCCCTAATTTAATTCAGTTATGTGAAAAAGCCTTATTTTCCTCATATATGGAAGTAATTCCTCTGTAGATTAATCTCTCAGAAATTTCTCTTCTGTTTGAATCCAAACTGGGTTAAGTTGTCTCATTTCAAGATCAAGGCAACCACAGAAAGAGACAACCATGTGTGGTGAGGACCTCCGATACAGACTGGATAGAGATAAACCTTAGACTTTAAAGGTTCGCCAAGAAGCCACAGCCAATGAGGTCATATGCAAATGGAAGGAAATCTGCAACCACCAATATAATCTGTGTCTGTTTGGTCAAGACTCGAAATTAGCAGCAATGCTGAGATGAATTATTGTTCAAAAATATCTTTGGTTTTGGCCATCAAGAATGTTTAATAAGTGCATTCTGGGAGTCCAAGTATTGATCAGTGTCTGTATGCAGTTCAGTCCTTGTTTTTCAGCCGTGTTGGGCCCAGCAGTAATATAGATATATGGTGGGCTTTTTTTTTTTTTTCAGGAATCGGTTCAAGACGTTTGAGTGAGTTTTCAAACCAGAAGCATGAGAAACGTGCAGAAAACGCAACATATAAATCTCAACGTCACCTTTGTATTGTTTCTCTCATTGTTTAGTAAGAACCAGTGTTGTGCTCCGTCACCATCTTGCTCGACGGATGCAGCGGTGGTCAGACCGCGGCTGCGTTCCCTCTGTACTCCTCCATCATTTCTCACTGAGTGGAAAGTTTCACTTGCAGTCTCTTCATAACCACACACCCTCCTACTTTAACCCCACTGACACCTTGTCACTCCTCCTATCCATTTTGAACCCTGATGCCCCCCCAGACTCTGTGTTAGTCTTCATCATCATTGTCATCACCTCCCGAGGAACATCTGGTCATCATGAAGGCCGAACACGTCTTCCTGCTCTGCATCCTGGGAGCCGCTCTGCTGTCCACTGTCCTCTGCATCAGTAAGACCACAGCCAGACTGCAGCTGCGTCTCCAGGCTGTCAGATGATTCGTTTCATGTGATCTTCTTGTTCGCAGATGGAATTGGACCCGACGACTGCTGCTTCAAATTCTATTCACGAAAGATGAGGAAAACTGCCATCCGCTCGTACTACTTCACTGATTACCGCTGTCCCAAGGCTGCAGTCATGTGAGTAACTCAAACCTCCAACTGGATTCATGTCAGTCAAGTTTTGAACGAGTTCTAAGAAGATGAATAGGTAGGTAGGGATTTTCTCTTAGGAAAATTATCATAAGAGTAATGTCAATTATGCTTAGAACTACTAGAGATGTTTTGTATTAACATTACCACTGGACGAAGTGTTGACGGTATTCTTACTTTCGAATCTCCTTTCTTTTCGTTTAGTTTGGTCACAGAACAGAAGGGTCGTCACATCTGCGTGGATCCAAGTCTCCTGTGGGTTGAAAACATGATGAGGCATCTGGATGAGAAGGACTTGAAGTGAACCTCTTGCTCATCCTTTCATCTTTCTTTGCTTTGTTTCATCCATCATAAAAGCTGGAGAACATTGGTGGCATATATTTAGATATACTCAAAGCTTTTTGCTTCCAAGCAGAGTCATTTCTCTGACTGTTTCAGTGGTTTTGTTATCTTGACGGGTTAACCTCACTGGAAACCCGTTTTGATTTTATCTTGTTTTCTGATGTTTTATAAAGTGATCTGCTGTACCTGTGGATTTAATCTAAAATAAAAAAAAATACATTGATCTGTTTTTGTTCTGTGTATTTCTACATTGCTCAGGCTTATAATAACTTCTTTGGAAAGACAAGATGAAAAAATGAGAAAATCAGATCAGTAGATATGAGGTTTCCACAAGTTTCAAGAAGTTTCATTTAAGATCTATAGATCTGAATTAAATAGAGGAACAGCATTCATTTTCTTATAAACAAGTTAAATACATTGGTCAGAAGCAGCTGGTGTTTTCCAGCTCTGACATGTGACTTGAGTATTTTTACACCTGAATTATCAATGATGTGGTTTGGAAATACCTGTTACCAAATAGATAAACAGAACGGACAGACCGATACTTTATTAATACCCACATAGGGAAATTTATGTAGCACCTAACACTCCCAAACCACACACACCATCAGTACAGTACTATAAAAACCAGTAATATTTGTGTTATTTATAAATGCTCATGTCAGCAGGTGTTGTGCAGCTACAGCTCTAGAAAAAATGAAAGAACCGCTGCACTGAAAACCTCCAGGTTACTCAACCTAATGTTGATTTCTGAACTCTTCCTGAGTTCAAACATCAGTGTTGTTGTTTCTAAGTGAATATGAACTTGTTTTCTTTGCATTATTTGAGGTCTGAATGCACAGTACCTGTTTTTTCTTGTTTTGACCATTTCTCCTTTTCTGCAAATAAATACTAATTTGTTGCTTGGAATTTCAGAGACATGTCAGTAGTTCATTTTACTCAAACATAGATCTATAAAAGAGAATATGATCATTTTAAGTGGTCTCTTAATTTTTTCCAGAGCTGTTTATTCGGTTGTCATGGTGAGTGATTGAGCACTGGACAACTAGAGCCAACAAACTATTCTCCTAACCAAACAAAACCATTAAGTCAGACGAGTCTTAATGTCTGTTGACCAACCAGTGACCTCAGGTCCATTCCTCCAGAGCTGCTGTCCTTCATCATCATCATCATCATCATCATCAGTCATTCAGCTCTGCAAAGTGTGACTGTAAGATCCCAAATGCAGATAAATGTTTGTTTTTGTCTCTGAATATTATTTATTTGCCTTTGTGGAGAGTCGAGGTGAACAAACTGTCCCTGGTGTGACAAAGTCACACATTGAGCAGAGCGTATCCTGTTGGGTTTGTGGTCTAAAAATGTTTAGCCTGGCTGCACACACACACACACACCCACGCGCACACACACACACACGCACGCACGCACGCACGCACACACACACACACACACACACACACGTTTGTGTTGCTATCTTTGTGGGGACTTTCCATTGACTTCCATTCATTTCTACAGCATAACCTGACCTTTACCCTTTTCCTAACCCTAACCCTACCCAAAACTCAATTCATACCTTAGTCCTAACTCTGACCCCTGACCCAAAAATAGGGTTTCCCCTTGTGGGGACCAGGCTCCGGTCCCCACAAGGAGCAATTGGTCCCCACACTGTAGGATATGTCAGGAAAATTGTCCCCGCAAGGTATTACAAACAAACGCACACACACACACACACACACACACATATGAAATGGCTTTAATGTCGACTGCAGCTTACAGCAGGTCGTTCAGGTCGCTGTAGTTCTGCTAAATGTTGTTATTGTTTAGTTTTTAAGAGAAACTGAAAAAGCCGAACTTGTCAGAGTACCATTGCTTCAAGACTTTTAAGGATTTGTCTGAACCAGTATTTTTTTTCAGTGGGGAATAATTTTTCCATTCAAAATGATACAATTTGTAAAAACTGTATCTAGAGTACTGGATGTACAGATTTGAACTGCAGATTCTCTCTAATCCAGAGTCTGAACAATTCATGGATTCTCAAATATATTGAAATATGTTACAGGAACCCACTAATATTTATAATGTTAAAGAGACAGGACAGTCTTCAATAAATCCATCAATTTTCTAATTTGAGTTACATTTATAACAATTTTGTTGCCAGACACTGATTCAAATTGTAAGAACTCTTCTTGGTTTTGAAAGCTTCACCTTGACTTATTACTTGTTGTTTTTGACAAATTGTTCAACTTTTGCCTTTTCTGACCACAATTGTTTTTCTCCAGAAGTTATTTGACTTGTCCATGAGGCCTGGATCCAGGAAATAGAAACCACTAGAGGCAGCAGGAAGAACCAAAGGTGTAGTTAAGGACTGTGGCAGAGAGATGGAAGGTAAGGCAAGTTTATTTTTATAGTTTATTTTTATTGCACAATCTTTACATTTAGCAAGCAAGAAACATTACATTACAGTAGCACTATAATAAAGACTACAATTAACATTACAGACATAATAGATTTTAAAATAAACTTTATAAAAACAAACAAGGATGGTAAATTCAAAGCAAAATATTTGCTTGAAATAGAAAAGCTTTAATACCAAAATCATGACCACATTGCCAGTTCACTTCACATGATCTGATAAAGCAGAACAGCAGGCAGATCCTTTACAGGGTCTTCATCTCCAGACTCTTAACAATATTCTGCACCCACTGTTCCTTTGAATCCACACAGATGCGGCGTGCCCTGCGTGTTATTAGGCTGAAAGAAAAAAGCACAGATTTCTCTTTCTCACAAAGGAGGAATGGGAAAAACAAACTTCACTTTGAGTAAAACAGAACTGATCATTTTATAACGGAGAATAACAGAAACAGTTATCAGTACTTACATAACTCCATTTGTGGCACAGCGAGCATCAGTCCTGTAATATGAAGTGATGAGGTTTTTGTTCAACCGGTTTCTGAAGAATTGAAAGCAGCATTCATCAGGACCATTTGAACCTGAAAATAACACAGTTAGTTAATAAAGAGTTTGAATGAACATGAGATACAATGTTTAATTTTCCTTTGGGGTCAATAAACAAACTTTGAATTTGAATTGAATCAGAATCAGATTCCTTTTGTTTTGTTTGTTGTTTTATTGTTTTTCTTGTTTTGCAAGAAAGCACAAAATTGAATGTAAGATCAGCTGATCAGAGAATCGTCTCCAGGTGAACTTACTGTTGCAGAGGACTGTGGACAGCAGAGCTGCTCCCAGGATGCAGAGCAGGAGGATGTTAACAGCCTTCATGATGACCAGATGTTCCTCTGTGAGTGATGATGGAGACGCTCTGGGTTGTTTGAACAATCGGCAGACCGATGCTGCCTTTATCAAAACAGAGGTGTTAAAGAGGCAGGGTCTCCGTGGTTACACGGCGCCTGAACGCCTCTGACATGGTGAAACTTTCCACTTGGTTAGACGGAGAGATAGATTGAAGAGGAAATGCTGTGGGTCGACCAAAAAAAGCATGAAGTCAGTGAGCTGAAGAAATAAACACCATCACCGATCTCTATTTTAATCGTTGCTTTTGGGATAAACTTTTAAGTATGGAACAAGTAAATCCTTTAAAATGACAGTAAATGTGGGGTTAGGATTGGAAACAGACTAAATACACTTAGAAACAGTGCTGTGCTTTTGTATTAAACCCCTTTTCCTCTAAAATACCTAAATAAATTCACTAAATTAAATGTGTTTATTTGTAACTTGTTTAATGATGTTTTAAAGTTTTAATGCATTTTCAATTTAGGAGCAGAAAATCTTATTTTCGCCCCCTGCTGGTAAAAGTTAGCTAAGGTCATCTGTTGTAGAACCAGGAGTTACTTCTGTTAAACAGCAAACAGAAATAAAATAGACAGTTTTATGTTACTAGGTAAGTTGTGACCTTAAAAGGGATCTGTAACTACAGTACATTAATACTGAGTTAAACTTATATTACTTAAATATTAATTTTTAGGTGGCCCCGGTCTTTCTGCATGGAGTTTGCATGTTCTCCCTGTGCATGCGTGGGTTTTCTCCGGGTACTCCGGTTCCTCCCACAGTCCAAAAACATGTCAGGTTAATTGGCCTCTCCAAATTGCCAGTGTGTGTCTGCATGGTTGTCTCTGTGTTGCCCTGCGACAGACTGGCGACCTGTCCAGGATGACCCCGCCTCTCGCCCGGAACGTTAGCTGGAGATAGGCACCAGCACCCCTCCCGGCCCCCTGAGGGACAAGGGTGTAAAGAAAATGGATGGATGGATGGATTAATTTTTAGGACTAAAAACCAGTGTTGTAGTACTCGAGATCGGTCTTGGTCTCGAGACCATTTTTTGATGGTCTCGGTCTTGTATCGGACTCGGTCCCTGAGGAATCGGCCTTTTATTTCAAGACCAGTCGAGACCGCAACTGTGAAAATATCACTAAATGTACAGCATACTATCCAGTTTATTTATTAACATCGTTGTTTTCAGTGGATTCAAAATGCACCAATTAAAATCCAACCAATAACGTGTTTCTGTTACTCCCCCCCCCTCCTCACCTTTCACTCAGACGCGGCGCTCCAGACATGCGCAGTTGTTTTCTCTGAGCGGCAGAAGAT